CTGGAGCCAGGAACTGAAGTCTCTTTTGTATTTCTTCCTTTGTTAACAGCTCTCGTTTCCTGCTTTTCCTGGAAGGTAAGACAGTCTCAGTCTTTTTCTCAGGTGATATGCAGGAGCTTGCAGTAAGAAAGAAACAGTTTTGCATAGTTCCAAGAGACTTTCAGCAATGATTGTTAGAACGTTGGTTAACCCTGTAATCTCCGGTTTAAGGCCTTTACATTGAAGTTAATGTTCTTATTGAAAGACTTCATATCCTGGCTCCTGTGAACCTGCTTCATACTGACCTTCAAACCTGCTGTTAACAATAACCTGCTCCACCCTTACCTATACTTCAAACCAGACTGCCTCTATAACCAGCCTTCCACTGTTATCAGCCTTCCACTGTTACCAGCCTGCCTTTGTTACCTGGAATTTACAGACATTCATTATTATTTGCAAGTAACCTGTTCTGTGGCAAGTATCCTGTTTGGTGGCATATTGCCTAAAGTCTGTTTTCATTCAAGTCTTATAATATGTCTAAAAACACTAATAAAGTACCTGAAGTCAACCCTGGCATAAGTCTCCTATCTGACCTGCACAAGATCATGACAATATCTCCCAGCGTCTGTGTCCCCATGTCTCTGTGTCCCTAGTGTCTGTGTCCCCATTTCTCCCAGTGTCCCCAAATGTTTCAGTGTCCCCTTGTCTCCCAGTGTCCCCATATCTGTATCCACAAGTGTGCCCAAGTGTCTCAGTGCCCCCATGTCTCCCAGTGTCCCCATGTCTTACTGTGACACAGGACACACTGAGACGTGGGGACAATGGGAGAAATGGGGACACTGAGACACTGGGAGACTAGGGGACTGGGCAACATTGACACTGTGATACATAGGGACACTGATGCCAGGGTGGCCTTCCAATTCTTTGGACAGACATGCCCCTTTTTGGGCATGTTCGCCCCTTTTTGCAGTTCTGGCCAATAGTGCAATATTTATAAAATAAGATAAAAGCTTGAATAAAAAGAAATCCAAATGGCCTACTCACATGGGATAGAGCTAAAACCTGTCAGGGATCCACGGGCGGCTAGGAGGGGAGGCTGCATGCCACTTGCAGCACTCACCCTCAGTCCGTCGCCGCCCGCGGTCTCCCCTCTTACCTGTCGGCGAGCGGCGTCACCTCTCTGCCGCTCGCGTCCTCCACGCCCCCCAGCGGCAGCATGTATAACGCTGCACGCTGGGAGGTCACTGAATTATGCAAACGCCGGGGTCACGTGAGTGACCCGGCGTTAAAGGAACAGTACCACAATCACAGTGGGAGGTGTAGATATCCCCCACGTGTGATTGTTAATTCTGATTGGAAGTTATCCAATCAGAATTAAACCAAGGGTATTTATACTTACCTTTCCTGTCCCTCAGTGCCCTGTTGTGGTCTTGTGATACCTGTAGTGCTGTTCTCTCGTGTTGCTCTCTGGTTTCCGATTATTTGGCTCGTTATTCCGATTATCCTGTATTCTCCACTCCTTTGACCTCGGCTTGTTTCTCGTTCTCCCGTTTTCTGGCTCCCTTTACTTGGCTTGTCTCCTGACCATTCTTAGTGTGCTTAGCCAGGCCACTCTAAGGACCGGTATAGCACCCTTCCTCTCTGTGACCTGTTAGCGTGTTAGGTTCTGGAATCCTGTCAAAACCAGCTCTAGTATAAAGCTCTTGCAGTGGATTTGATCCCCCACTTCAGGGATATTGGTGAAAGATATTGACCAGTAGTGATGTACCGAACGGTTCGCTGGCGAACGGTTCCTGGCGAACATAGCATGTTCGCGTTCGCCACGGCGGGCGAACATATGCGCGGTTCGACCCGCCCCCTATTCGTCATCATTGAGTAAACTTTGACCCTGTACCTCACAGTCAGCAGACACATTCCAGCCAATTAGCAGCACAGCCTCCCTAGCAGACCCTCCCACCTACTGGACAGCATCCATTTTAGATTCATTCTCAAGCTGCATGCTTAGTAAGAGGAGGGAAAGTGTAGCTGCTGTTCATAAGATAGGGAAAAGCATAGCTAGGTTAGGGATAAGGGTATGCTTTTTTTTGATTTTTTTTTTAATCTAAATGTTATTAGTTGTCAGTTACTGTGCCTTAAACTGTGTCACCCCATTTCCCCAGTCAGTGCCACTAATTAGATCTGGTGTCACAATAGCTTGGATTTAAAAACAAAAAACTTTTTTCACTGTTATAGATTGAATAACAGTTAGTTATCTTCAAGCGGGTGTCAGGCCTACAGCCTGTGCTCTGCACAACTGTGCCAGTGCACATTGCCACTCATATCTGGTCTCACAGTAGCTTGCGCGCATAGTACCACTAATCCCAACAAAAATGACAGGCAGAGGCAGGCCACCCCGCAGGGGCCATCGTGGTCGTGGTGCTGTGATTCCCTTTGGCCCTAGAATAATGCCCAGTTTTCAGAGGCCGCGTACCCTGAACTTGAAAAGTTCTGAGGACATAGTTGACTGGCTAACACAGGACACCCAATCTTCTACAGCCTCCGCTCAGAACCTTGACGCACCATCCTCCTCCAGCTTAGCTTCAGGCACCTCTCAAGATACCACTCACCCGCCTGCCGCCACCACCAAACTAGCACCACAGCCGCTTCAGTTGGTATGTCAGAGGAGTTATTCACACATCCGTTTGAAGAAATGAGTGATGCGCAACCATTATTGCCAGAGGATGTAGATAATAGGGATATGTCTCAGGCAGGCAGCATTACACACATGGACGTACAGTGTGATGATGATGATGATGTTGTACCCGCTGCTGCTTCCTTTGCTGAGTTGTCAGATACAAGTGAAACGGTTGATGATGACGATGCGTCCATGGATGTCATGTGGGTGCCATTTCGTCCAGAGAAGAACAGGGCCGAAGTTCAGATGGGAGACAGGGAGGGAGGAGGAGGCGAGTTGGAAGCAGGGGAGGGTCGTGCGCCAGAGCTGAGTGGCACAGTCCACGAGCCCGCCGACACCCAGGGGTCTGAGCCCGACCCAGCTTGCGCCAATCAGCATGCTGTGTCCACCACCACCAGAATGCCGTCATTGCGGAAGCTTTCAGCAGTGTGGAATTTTTGTGTAATCTGCCTCTGACAACAGGTGCATTTGCAACCTGTGCCAAGAAACTTGAGTGTTAAGGGAAGTCAACACCCACCTAGGTACAACTGCTTTGCGTAGGCACATGATCTCACATCACAGGCGCCTATGGGATCAACACATGATTACAAGCAGCTCGCCTACTCTAAGCCGCCAGCCTCCTCCTGGTCCAGCATCTTCAGCCACGTCAACCACTGCTGTCCTCCTTGTCCCCTCTCAACCATCAGCCACTCCGCCTCCCGCCTTGAGCAGTTCACGCTCATCTTCCCACAGTCATGTGTCTGTCAAGGACATGTTTGAGCGTAAGAAGACAATGTCAGAAAGTCACCCCCTTGCCCAGCGTCTGGCTGCTGGCTTGTCCGAACTATTAGCCCGCCAGCTTTTACCATACAAGCTGGTGGAGTCTGAGGCGTTCAAAAAATTTGTAGCTATTGGGACACCGCAGTGGAAGGTACCCGGCCGAAATTACTTTTCGCAAAAGGCAATCCCAACCTGTACTCAATTGTGCAAAAGGAAGTAATAGCATCTCTGGCACACAGTGTTGGGGCAAAGGTCCATCTGACCACTGATACCTGGTCTGCAAAGCATGGTCAGGGCAGGTATATCACCTACACTGCGCATTGGGTAAACCTGCTGACTGCTGCTAAGCATGGAATGCATGGCTCTGCAGAGGAGTTGGTGACACCGCCACGACTTGCAGGCAGTCCTGCTGCCACCTCCTCTACTCCTCCTACTCCATCCTCTTCCATAACCTCCTCGGCTGAGTCCTCTTCTGCTGCTGCGTCTTGCTCCCCATCAACGGCACCCCCCCAGCTCCCCAGGTACTATTCCACATCCCGGATACGGCAGTGTCACGCCGTCTTGGGTTTGACTTGCTTGAAAGCAGAGAGTCACACCGGACAAGCACTCCTGTCCGCCCTGAACGCACAGGTGGAAAGTGGCTGACTCCGCAGCGACTGGATATCGGCAAAGTGGTTTGTGACAACGGAACAAATTTGTTAGCGGCATTGAAGTTGGGCAAGTTGTCACATGTGCCGTGCATGGCACATGTGTGGTAATATTCTGATAGTACAGCAGCTTTGTGCATAGTACATGAAACACAGGGCGTCTGAAGCAGGCCAGGAAGGTGTGTGTGGCCATTTCAGAAGTTCCTACACGGCCATGGCTCACTTTGCCGATATCAACAGCGAAACAACATGCCAGTGGTGATTTCGCGACAGCCCGACACGTTGGAATTCAACACTCCTAATGTTCGACGCCTGCTCCAACAAGAAAAAGCCGTTAATGAATATTTGTATGACCGGGGTGCTAGGACAGCCTCTGGGGAGCTGGGAATTTTTTTGCCACGTTACTGGACGCTCATGCGCAATGCCTTTAGGCTCATGCGTCCTTTTGAGGAGGTGACAAATTTAGTCAGTCGCACCGAAGGCACCATCAGCGACATCATACCATTTGTTTTCTTCCTGGAGCGTGCCCTGCGAGGAGTGCTGGATCAGGCCGTAGATGAGCGTGAAGAGGAAGAGGAAGAGTTGTGGTCACCATCACCTCCAGAAACAGCCTTATCAGCATCGCTTGCTGGACCTGCGGCAACGCTGGAAGAGGATTGTGAGGAAGAGGAGTCAGAGGAGGAATGTGGCTTTGAGGAGGAGGAAGAGGAGGAGCAAGACCAACCACAACAGGCATCCCAGGGTGCTCGTTGTCACCTATCTGGTACCTGTGGTGTTGTACGTGGCTGGGGAAGAAAATACCTTCATTGACATCAGTGAGGAGGAGGAACGGGAAATGAGTAGCTCGGCATCCAACCTTGTGCAAATGGGTCTTTCATGCTGTCGTGCCTGTTGAGGGACCCTCGTATAAAAAGGCTGAAGGAGAACGACCTGTACTGGGTGTCCACGCTACTAGACCCCCGGTATAAGCAGAAAGTGGCGGAAATGTTACCGAATTACAACAAGTATGAAAGGATGCAGCATTTGCAAAATAAATTTAAAAGAATGCTTTACACAGCGTATAAGGGTGATGTCACAGCACAACGGGAATCTAACAGGGAGAGAGGTGGAAGTCATCCTCCTCCTCCCATGACCACGCCGGCAAGGACAGGACGCTTTAGAGACGTGTTGTTGATGGAGGACATGCGGACCTTTTTAAGTCCTACGCATCGCCACAGCCCTTCGGGATCCACCCTCAGAGAGCGACTCGACCTACAGGTAGCAGACTACCTCGCCTTAACTGCAGATATCGACACTCTGAGGAGCGATGAACCCCTTGACTACTGGGTGTGCAGGCTTGACCTGTGGCCTGAGCTATCCCAATTTGCGATAGAACTTCTGGCCTGCCCCGCTTCAAGTGTCCTGTCAGAAAGGACCTTCAGTGCAGCAGGAGGTATTGTCACTGAGAAGAGAAGTCGCCTAGGTCAAAAAAGTCTAGATTACCTCACCTTTATTAAGATGAATGAGGGATGGATCCCGAAGGGACTGACACTGGGCGATACATTAGATTAAAAGGCCTGATGAGATGAGCTGCCTTGGGCTAAAAATGGTCCACACGCTGCTGTATTTTAGCTCTGAATGCCTGTTGACTTGCGTGACTGATCCGCCACCAACTTGGGTTCAAGCCGCCATCTTTTAGGGCACTTTCTGCCTGTGAAACAAACATCAGTTATAGATTGAATAGCAGTTAGTTGTCTCAAAGCGGTGTGTCAGCCCTACAGCGTGTACTCTGCCAGTACGCTGCCACCTCCTCTACTCCTCCTACTCCATCCTCTTCCATAACCTCCTCGGCTTAGTCCTCTTCTGCTGCTGCGTCTTGCTCCACATCAACGGATAGGGGGCGTAACAGTGATTAAACTGATAACAATAGTACTAAACACACCACTCACCCACTGGTGTCACAATAGCTTGGATTTAAAAACAAATTATTTTTTTCACTGTTATAGATTGAATAGCAGTTAGTTATCTTCAAGCAGGTGTGTCAGCCCTACAGCGTACTCTGCCAGTTTACAGTGCCACTCATATCATACCACCAGAATGCCGCCATTGCAGAGCTCAGCAGTGTGGAATTTTTTTTGTGTGTCTGCTCTGACAACAGCGATGCCATTTGCAACATGTGCCAAAAGAAACTGAGTCGTGGGAAGTCCAACACCCACCTAGGTACAACTGCTTTGCGTAGGCACATGATCTCACATCACAAACGCCTATGGGATCAATACATGAGTACAAGCAGCTCGCCTACTCTAAGCCGCCAGCCTCCTCCTGGTCCAGCATCTTCAGCCACGTCAACCACTGCTGTCCTCCTGTCCCCTCTCAACCATCTGCCACTCCGCCTCCCGCCTTGAGCAGTTCACGCTCATCTTCCATAACCTCCTCGACTGAGTCCTGTTCTGTTGCTGCTGTGTATTGCTCCACATCAACGGATAGGGGGCGTAACAGTGATTAAACTGATAACAATAGTACTAAACACACCACTCACTCACTGGTGTCACAATAGCTTGGATTTAAAAACAAAATTTTTTTTTCACTGTTATAGATTGAATAGCAGTTAGTTATTTTCAAGCAGGTGTGTCAGCCCTACAGCGTGTACTCTGCCAGTACGCTGCCACCTCCTCTACTCCTCCTACTCCATCCTCTTCCATAACCTCCTCGGCTAGTCCTCTTCTGCTGCTGCGTCTTGCTCCACATCAACGGATAGGGGGCGTAACAGTGATTAAACTGATAACAATAGTACTAAACACACAACTCCTATCTGGTGGCACATTAGATTGCACGCGCAGTGCCCCAAATTTGTTGTGATCTGTGAGTAAGGTAAACGGTTGTCCATACAAGTAGGTTGCAGTTTTTTGAGGGCCCACACCACCGCTATGCACTCCTTTTCAATGGCAGTGAATATACTTCGCTGTGCAAAAGTTTACGGCTTAGATAAGCCCGGGTTGCTAGCCACCATCTGCTCCGACTTGGCTCAGTACTGCTCCCAATCCAAGCATAGAAGCGTCTGTATGGACGAGAAAGTGTTTAGTTGGATCAGGAGCAGAAAGTACAGGTGATTTAATGAGCGCCGTCTTGAGCTGTTGGAAGGCCTGTTCACACTCTGGGGCCCATACTACCATCTTGGGGAGGTTTTTACACGTTCCTATATGGCACTTACTGGGCTTTAGGGTCAGTCCGGACTCCCTAATCCGGTCTATTACGGCTCCTATGTGGGTCAGGTGTTCGGGCCAGGAGCTGCTAAAAATGTTCATACCATCCAAGTAGGTGTGTATCAGTGTGTATCAGGGATCCTTTGGACAGGTGTCAATCCATATCTGCCAAGTGACCCTATGTAGGGGGAACAGTCTCTATTCTGCTCTGTGTCAGTGTGTATCATGGTCTCTGAGGACAGGTGTCAATCCATATCTGCCAAGTGACCCTATGTAGGAGGAACAGTCCCTATTCTGCTCTGTGTCAGTGTGTATCAGGGATCCTTAGGACAGGTGTCAATCCATATCTGCCAAGTGACCCGATGTTGGGGGTAACATTCCTATTCTGCTCTGTGTCAGTGTGTATCAGGGATCCTTAGGACAGGTGTCAATCCATATCTGCCAAGTGACCCGATGTTGGGGTAACATTCCCTATTCTGCTCTGTGTCAGTGTGTATCAGGGATCCTTAGGACAGGTGTCAATCCATATCTGCCAAGTGACCCGATGTTGGGGTAACATTCCCTATTCTGCTCTGTGTCAGTTTTGCACAGCCCCCATGTTCCCGGCGGTGCGGCCCGCACACTAAGGAGGCCCCCCGGGTGGCCCATGCACTAAGGG